AGAAGAAGAAGAAGAAGAAGAAGAAGAAGAAGAAGAAGAAGAAGAAGAAGAAGTCACAAAGTAGGTACTGCATTTATATCTCTATACGGATACTCACGGACAGTGATGAGGTTCATCTCGTGAACTCCGACCTGTTGGATGGTCGCGCGCAGGTCAACAGGTACTCCTGGTTGCCCTGGAATTTGCAGCACGTGTCGGCGAAGGTCAAGGCCCTTGTCCTGACATACAGAGGTCACGAGTTCACCAAGGACAGTAAGGGGGCTGACCCTGACCACGGCCTTTTGACCCCTTGGGAGGTTCATGGTGAACCGATGGGTCATCTGGAAAGACAAAAGAAGCGCTGTTACAAATGTGGTGCTTTTGCCGTTGTTAATTCTGTCGCTGTTGTGACTTTTAAGGAGCATTTCTTTGCTCGTCCGGAATAAAAGACACTTGTCTTGAGTATGGCTATTCAATCCAGACATGGGAAGAACATGAATAGAATGTCTTGGTGCTGATAAGTCCAAATCACATGTTATAATCACTTCGTCAGCCAGCAGTTAAAATAAATGCCCTAAGCCCAACATTTTGACGACATTCTAATTCTAAATTTTGAAAAAAAAGGGGAAAAAAAATGCATTATAATGTAAGTACAGTTTGTTTTTGAATTTTTTTTATATCTGTCCTTTAAAAAAATTGTGTTTAAAGCTTGGTATCGGAAGGAAAGAAAGCACAAGGTGGGTGTATTACAATAAGGGGCAGCCTCTATCTTGTGAGAAATAAAATAGGAGTGAATTGGCGGTTACATAAAATTTTTCTAAAGGCAAAAACGAAACTATTTCAAACATTCTTTCTTAATTGACGGTTCGTTTATCTATGTTGAAAAGAAATGAAGGTAACTGCTATTTTCCAAAAGGCAATATAAAATCATATAAGAAGACTATCTTTTCTAATACATCCAGTAGACACACCAACTGACCCCATAGTAACCCTTTATTAAGATCATAATTGAAACGTGCCTAAGTAATGACATGCACGCATCTTCTCTGACGACGAGACTCCCTACAGTGCAAAGTACAATGCTCATAATCTATAATAAATACACTTCTACAATAGCAAAAGGATTCCACGCGTACTTCAAAGTCCGCTCCGATGACTGTGTACGACAAACGATGCCTCCTCATCTTGAATGTTACACCACGTAGCAACGCATTGTTATTCTACTGATGTTGTGACGGAACGGGTCTGTTGTCAAGGTCACAGAGAAGAAACGAGTAATTTTATTACACGTTACGATCCAACACATGTGATCACGTACTGCGAGCTGAGTTTAGTTCGACAGGAAAGTGGTATTTGTAAAACTTTAATGATTTCAGAGGTAATGTGTGTTTCCTTTGGCAAGACAGAATAATAGTTTCAGTTTTCATTTCGTGTACCGTAGTATAAACGTCCCGGGGTAGCACGGTAAGATTTGACGAAATTTATTGGGAAATATCTCTCTCTCTCTCTCTCTCTCTCTCTCTCTCTCTCTCTCTCTCTCTCTCT